AGGATAGTCAACTGAAGAACATGTCTCTAGGGATGCCCTCGAAAATCCATGAAGTCCCAGACAGACACAAAGACCAGGAAGACTCTCCTAATACATGGTTCCCCCATCTAGGAATCTTTTTGCGGAAGACTTTCTCTCCCTAGTCTCAGAAAACCCTGGTGTAATTTTTCATCAAAGTTATTCATTTATTCTTTCCTGGCAGGACAGGCATGCGCAGATGCGAAGGTCAGAGGCAGCTCACACAAGTCACTTCTCTCCTTCTACCATGTGGGCTCTGGGGAAGGAACTGGGCTTGTCAGGCGGTACCAACTGTTCTTACCTGCTGGGCCACTCCCCAGCCCTGGTATCATTCTCAGGAAGCCATCCTGGCCTTCCCATCTACCTTCACAGTCTACTTCACACTTCTCACGCCTGCTCCCTTGCCTCAACCCACCAGGACTGCAAACCCTAAGGGCACAGTTGAGTCTGAGCTCTGAATCACAACTCCATCTTAGTCAAGAGGGCAAATTTACAATCACCCTGGTTCTTACAAATTCGCTCTTCTAAAGGAGCCTTTGTGTATTTAGTCAGGATTCCCAAACGTAATACCCCAGACGAGTGAGCAGAGCAAGTTAAAGCATGCTACTACCCTGATCGTGTTTGCAGACTGCCTGCCCATGGGCTTAGGGGTAAGCCTCAGTCTTCTCAACCTGACCAGATTAAAAAAGGCTCTCCTCACCCACAAACTTGAGTACCTTACAGTTCCCTAGAGCCACTGTTCTCACACATTTCATGGCCACTGCCTGGAGCACCCTTCCCCCTAACCTAGCTAATGTCTTGTTCCTTGGCCCAGTAGCCTGTCTTCCATAAACTCACCCTCTCTCTGAGTCTACAACTACACACCACACAGACACTACAGCCCCATGGCTGTGATGTTGGCCCTCTTATCCCTGTATAATTCTCATGACAGCAGCTATACTGACAAGTGACAAACAGAGATCTAAAACAAGGGCTATCATTATCTTGGTGGTTTTAGCCCTAGATGGGTTCTAGGACCTCAACATCTGGTCAGTGGATGACCCTGACTAAACAGCCTGAGCTTGTGCCTAATGCTGGGTGTGGTGAGGATGCCATAGTAGACAGCAAAGAGCCTGGACTGCTGTTTGTCTTTGGACAACTGACTTGTCAACTTTGTACATGAGTTTCATCTTGAAATCAGGGATAAGGGATTGGAGAGATGGCTCAGAGGTTAAGAGCACTAACTGCTCTTCCAGGGGTCCTGAGTTCAATTCCCAGCACCCACATGGTGGCTCACAACCATCTGTAATGAGATCTGGTGCCCTCTTCTGACCTGCAGGCATACATGCAGACAGAACACTGTATACATAATAAGTAAATAAATCTTTAAAAAAAAAAAAAGAAAGCAGGGATAATTATAGTTGCCATCAATCAGCTATTATGAAGAGTCACTTAATTGGTATATATAAAATGCTTAGCCCAGGTCCAGGCACCTAGAAGAAAGTCAACAATTGCTGGCTGCTGTAATCAGAGTGAAGGGGAACAGAGAGACACAGATGAATTTTTAGTAAATTATTACTATCATTTATCTGCCTGCCAAGAAAATATACCCTTATCTAACATGGAGACAGCAGTGGATAGCAGGGGCGGGTAGAGAGCTTCTGGGTATATTCCCTTCCTGTGACTTCATGGAACACCCTGTGCTAACCCAATGGTGAGAGACTGGCCTAAGGAACCGGGTAAATGTGGGACCCTGGCTTCCAGCAGAAAGAGCCTCTAGACTAGTTAAGAAATGTACACATTCCTATCTCAGGACACTTTGAAAGGGAAGCCCTGCTGAGGGCTCACCAGGAAGGCCAGAGAGGAATGAGTGCCTCTCCCTCCCTCCATCAAGGCCCCTCTCCAGAGAAGGCAGGCATGACCCAGAAGTTGTAGTTCATCAAGGCGTGGCTTCCCTCTGAGGCTTCCTGGTGTGCTCTAGCCTCCTTCTCTGCCAGGCCCCTTTCTTAATTATTGATGACCTTGTCCTCTGAGCGCCAAGCATTCCTGAGTAATGGGAACTTTTCCTGGAGGAGTCTCAAGTACCCAGCATCCTTTACCCCTTGGGCCCCTGCGGGATAGCATTTCTCTGACTGACATGCTGGAGCAAAAGGGCTGGCTCAGCGACTACACAGCATCAGGGTACCCTAGCATCTGAGAAGCAGGGGCCCAGGCTCCCCCACTGAAGTTCTTAGTTTCATACACTTCTGTTTCCATTAGGTATTCACGCTGCTCAAACCCTCTCCCTGCATCACTTTTACTTGTGGCCTTAGAATGACTTAACTGAACCTAGGTAATTAATATTGAAATCTAGGAAGACTGACAAGGACATCTGATCCATAGAGTAGTTTTCATTGCCTAATGAAAGTAATTTGCATTTCAGATTCACGTTCAGAATCAAGGGTTATCCCACTGTCACTGAGTAGCCAGGCTAGAACTCAGCCTACAGTTTGCTGACTTAAAACTGATTAAACCCGAGCAGGAGCCTGCCATTCTCCTTAAGTCCAGCTAGAAACAAGTCCACTATGACATTGGTCATTTTAATCTTGGGGAAGAGAAAATATAAATAAATAAATAAATAAATAAATAAATAAATAAATAAATGAAACAAATCCACATTTCCCCCCAGCCTGTAATGGGTTTTCTAATAACACTTAAACAGGCAGGTAGAAGTATATTTCTGTGTTAAGAAACTCATGACACACTGAATTGCTGTCCAGAGCTTGAGAGGGTAAGTTGGGGCATGGCTTTAAGAGAAAAACAACCAGGGGCTGTGAGAAGTCTTGTAAACAGACCTGCAGGTTGGAGACTTTTCTCACTGTGGGAATTCCAATGCAATCTTCAACAAATAAAGATAGGATTCGTCTAGAGACAGCTGCTCTCAGACTGCTTTTTGCCTTGGAAAAATATTTCAATTCCTTTTATTTGATGGGTGCTTTTCACCACCAAATGCTCATCAAAAGAGTCCCTGGGCAGAGTCCCTGAGGACTGAACAGCTCCTCACTCCCATGCTGAGTGGTGGGACAGAGACCAAGGCAGCCCCTCTCTGGAGGACAGCACCGCTGCCCTCCACTGCCAGCATCAGCTTTGATTCCAGGCGTTTTCTGCAGCTGAGTCCTCAAAGAGGCTCGTTTTATAATGTGGGCAGCTGACAGGGGGCTTGTTGCGCAGTCTGGGGAGAAGCAAGAGAGGGACACCTGCAGAAGCCCAGGGCAGAAGCACTAGGGGGACTGTTGTGTGGACCCGTCTGCTGGATGTATGGAGATGGCAGGAGAGCACAGTGAGTTCTGACAGTCTACCCCTGGTGTGTGGCTTTACCTTGGGTTTATTAAGCACACACTGCAGGTGTCAAAGAAGTGAATGACCACCACCCGACCTGTTCACTTGGCGAGGGGAAAGAGTAGAAACTGAAAGTCCTTCAGAGGAGGATCTGCAGGCTTGTGGTGATCTCTTGTGACTGTCTCCCAAAGAGTGGGGAATGTGAGGAGTACCCAGCAAGGGGAGCCAGTGAGGAGGGGGTATGGGGGTGCCAGTGTGGGGTGTGACATTTCTGACACCAGCAGGATACTCACTAGGTGCAGTTCCTCTGCATGGTGGGAATTTCATTTTAAAACTCTTAACTAGTTGGGCGGTGGTGGCTCACACCTGCAATCCCAGCACTTGAGAGGCAGAAGCAGGTGGGACTCTGTGAGTTCCGGGTCAAACTGATCTACAGATCAAGTTCCAGGACAGCCAGGGCAACACAGAGAAACCCTGTCTCAGAAAAACCTCTTAACTAAAAGTAGAAATATATTCACCTGTGGACATTTACAAGGCGGCCACAGTACTAGACAGGTCTAGGAGTCTACACACCAAAGCGGTACCATAGGTCAGCATTTCTCAACCTGTATGGGTCGCCACCCTTAATGGTCGGGGGTCACCACACCATGAGGAACTGTAAAAGGGTCGCAGCATTGGGAAGGTTGAGAACCACTGCCGAGGCCATCTCACAGGGCCATCTGGGAAGGGTGGAGGAAACATTTCAATTATATACCTCTGCCTCTGCGCTGCTTACATCTCTTTAAAATCCAACCCGCTATTCAAAGGAAAGTGGAAAAAATCCAGTAACCCTAAGCTTAGACTCACGGAAACAGAGGAATCTGTAACTTGGGGTAACTGAATTCCACATCACAGGCGGGACCTTGGGACGTCCCTCCACCTCTGCTCCTTGTTCCTAACTTATAACTACTCCATGCCAAAGTGTGGGCTGGCGCAACCTTCTCTCCATATCCTGCTCCAAGGTCTGACGTGGATGGGGCCTCTCCTCACTTCCCATGGTTTAGCTCATCAGGTCAGGGCATGTCTTCTTCCAGGAGTCTGTATGTCTGTCTGCCAGTCAGTCAGTCAGTCTGCCTGTCTGTCTCTCTCTCTCTCTCTGAGTCTGTCTGTCTGTCTCTCTGTGTCTCTCTGTCTGTCTCTCTCTGTGTCTGTCTGTCTCTCTGTCTGTCCGTCTGTGTCTGTCTGTCTCTGTGTCTGTCTCTCTCTGTGTGTCTCTGTCTGTCTGTCTGTCTCTGTGTCTCTCTGTGTCTGTCTGTCTCTGTCTGCCTGTCTGTCCGTCTCTCTGTCTGTCTCACTTTGTGTGTGTCTGTCTCTCTCTCTCTCTGAGTCTGTCTGTCTCTCTGTGTCTCTCTGTCTGTCTGTCTCTCTGTGTGTCTGTCTCTCTGTCTGTCTGTCTGTCTCTGTGTCTGTCTGTCTCTGTGTCTGTCTGTCTCTCTGTGTGTCTGTCTCTGTGTGTGTCTGTCTGTCTCTCTCTGTGTCTGGTTGACTGTCTCTGTGTCTGTCTGTCTGTCTGTCTGTCTGCCTGCCTGTCTCTGGCTATCCCCCACACACACACACACACACACAGCTGACATCTTCGTGTCTACTCAGCTCCCTTGGCGCCCGCCAGGGAGACTGAAGATGGCCCATGCTGCCTTCTCCCGCAGGAATGATCTGGTCGGAATGCAAGGAGATCTGGGAGGAGGGGCCGCGGGAGTACGTGCTGCACCTGTGGAACCTGCTGGATTTCGGCATGCTCTCCATCTTCGTGGCTTCCTTCACCGCCAGGTTCATGGCCTTCCTCAAGGCCAGCGAGGCCCAGCTGTACGTGGACCAGTACGTGCAGGACCTAACGCTGCACAACGTCTCACTTCCGCCGGAAGTGGCCTACTTCACCTACGGTGAGTTCCGGTGGCCGCATGGTGGGCGGTCTGGGCGGGCTCTGCGATGGGAGTAGAGTGCGGGTCGCTTTGTCGGCCCCGGGACCTGGGCTCGAACCCGGGCAGGGCAGAGCCCACGGGGCCCACACTCGCTGAGCCTGCGGCGCTTGCAGATGTGCGACCGGTTTGTGACTGAGACATGGGTCTCCTGTGTTGGAAGGACGCGTTTGTTTGGAGAGGTTCTGGGGCGTTCCTGTAGATGTCTGCCTTTGTATTTGAAGAAGAATCCTTGTTGTTGTTGTTGTTGTTGTTGACGTGGGGACTAAAATATACTAACATTTTGCCGTGCATACTGGATACTCTGTTTCTTAGTGCAGCGTTCTTTCTCATGGTGAGATAGGTCCTTCAAAGAGACACTAATACATTGATCAACTGGTTTGAAACGGGTTGCGTGGGAGTTGGCGATACAGCTTAAGGCTGCTGCCGCCCAGAAGCCTGAGGAGGTCCACAGAGAGCTCTGACTGCCTGCAGAAAATAATAATTTCCGAATGCGCCAATATGAATGACAGTCAGAGGTTATTTGGAAGAGATTTATGTAAGTAGCCCTAATTAAACTCAGTGGATCACCCATCCTCCAAAAATACCAAAGTAGAAGAGGGACTGCTTTTTTTTTGGGGGGGGGGGTCAGCAGGAGTGGGAGGAGGGCAAAAGAGAGTAACGGAGTGAACATGGTCCAGTACATAACGTGTGTAAAATATCAGCATGAGGCCATTGTTATGTACAATTCATATGCTAATAATTATATTTTTTAAAGAAGAGATTTGATATAGTTTTTGAGTATGGGCATGAAGGGAGAGAGAATGAAGAGAAAAAAAAGTTAGGCATCCAAGTGTGGGTGTGAGATTCTCGAGAGTTGCTTTTCTTTACAGTAGCCCTCGTGCGGAGCAGAATACACACACACACAAACACAGTTTTGGTGGCTTTCAGAAGTTGTGTTTGGAAGGGTTGCTAATGAGCTTACACAAGGTCATAGGCTGGCTCCTGTGACGTGTGGGATGGAATTACAGCTGCCAAGGAAAAACTGTAGGCCACAGAGTTGCATAATGGAATTAAAATACTTTTTACTATAACTTCAGAGTCTTATTTGTGAAATTCCCAGAAATCTGCCGGTTTATCTCATGGAAAGGAGTAAGGCAGTACTCAAAGGTCCTATCCATCATTGCTATTTTAGCGTTTATTACTTACAAATGTGTTTGTTTAGAAAGAATGTAGGCAACCTCCACAGCTAATTTTTAAAAATATTTTCTTAATTCTTTGAGAATTTTAACAATGCATTTTGGTCATACTCACCCCAGGCCTGTCCCTCTAACTCCTCCCTGATCTACCCCTACTCCCCCCAAGTTTGTGCCCTTTGCTTTAAAGGAAAAAAAAATGACCTATCTACTCCAGTCTGTGCTGCCCATATATTCCTGAGTGGGGACCATCCACTGTAGTGTAGACAACCTACTGGGAGCCACATCCCTAAAGAAAACAGACTTCCCTTTCAGCCAGGGGTGGGGACTCGGGAACCCTTTCCCGCTCCCTGCTAGAAAGTTTGCTGACTTGAACTTGTGCAAACCTTATACCCGCAGCTGTAGTCGTACTTAATGGCTTCTCTGGGTTTTGTTTTATTGAAAATAACTTTTCCATGCAATGCATTCTGATCATTTCCATTCCCTCTCTCCTCTCCTCAGAGATCCTCCCCACAACCCCACTAGTTCAAATCCACGCCTTCTTTCTCTCTGTGTTTAGAAAACAGACAGACAAATAAAAAAATCAAACTAGAATAAAGCAAACAGAAAACAGAAACAGCACAAGAAACACATACCCATGCAGACAGGCGTGCATACCAAAAAAATCCATAAAAACATATAATCCACCAGGCAGTGTTGGTGCACACCTTTAATCCCAGCACTCAGGAGGCAGAGGCAGGCAGATCTCTGTGAGTTCAAGTCCAGCCTGGTCTACAGAGTGAGTTCCAGGATAAACAAAGCTGTAACACAGAGAAACCCTGTCTCGGAGCAAAAACAAACATATAATCAGAAACAATTTGAACAAAAGTCCCATAAGGTAAAAACAAAAACAGAAAAAGACCAAACCAAGTGTTATGAGACAAAATATCTTCAAAAATACCATCAAACATTGAGTTTGCTTTGTGTTAACCCCTACGCTGGTCATGGGGCCTGCCCTTAAGTGTGGTTTGTATACCCAGTGAGATTCCACTGGAGAAAACTGACTTTTCCCTTGTCAGTTGGAGATAGATTCTGGGGATAGGTAGGGAGGCTTTAATCTAGATGCCCTCTCAGCACTGGGATCCCATCTGCCTGGGACCTGTGCAGGCCCTGTACATGCTGCTACAATCTCTATCAAAGGCTTAGTAACTAGCCTCTACACATAAGAGAATATATATTTGTCTTTTTGGACCTAGATACCTCATTCAGGATAATTTTTTTCTAGCTCCATCCATTTATTTGCAAATTTCATATTTTTAACAACTGAGTAATACTCCATTGTGTAAATGTACCACATTTTTTCATTATCCATTCATTTCTTGAGGGACAGCTAGACTGTTTCCAATTTCTGGCTACTATAAATAGAGCAGCAATGATTATGGTTGAGCAGGTGTGGTTGGGTGGAGCATCCTTTGACTATATGCCCAAGAGTGGTAGAGCTGGATCTTGAGAGAAATCAATTCCCAGTTTTCTGAGGAACCTCCATATTGATTTCCATAGTGGCTGTACAAGTTTGCACTCCCACTAACAAAGGAGGAGTGCTCCCCTACCCACCTCCCTGTCAGCATTGAGCTATCTTTCATTTTATTGATCTTGACCATTCTGACAGGTATAAGATGAAATCTTAAAGTAGCTTTATTTGCATTTTCCTAATGACTAAGGGTGCTGAACATTTAAGTGCTTCTTGGTCAGTTGTGTTTCATCTTTTGAGAACTCTTCACATAGTTGGGTACCCCATTTTTTGGTTTTTTGTTTGTTTGTTTGTTTGTTTGAGATAGGGTTTCTCTGTCTATGGCCCTGGCTGTCCTGAAACTCACTCTGTAGACCAGGCTGGTCTCAAACTCACAGAGATCCCCCTGCCTCTGCTTCCCAAGTGCTGGGACTAAAGGCATGTGCCACCACCACCAGGCTGAGTACCATTTTTAATTGGGTTATTTGTTTTCTTCATGTCCAGTTGTCTTTAGTTATTTAAGTATTTTAGATATTAACTGTAGGCAGATTTTTGTGCTCCACCAGTCAGCTCCCAAATAACCACATGGAAACTTATTAATTATGAAAACTTGGCCAATAGCTTAGGCCAATAGCTTGTTTCTAACTAGCTCTTATCACTTAAGTTAGCCCATTTCTACTTACCTGTGTGCTGCTCTGAGGCTTGTTAACCTCACCTATGGATAATCCTTCCTGCCTTCCTGCCTCCTCCATGTCTCCTCTCGACTCTGCCCTTCTTCTTCCCAGCATCCTCTGTGCCTGGAAAATCCTGCCTAGCTCTTGGCCATTCAGCTTTTCATTCAACCAATCATAGAGACACATCTTCAGAGTGTGAAGGAATATTCTATAACAATTAGCCCTCTATCAGATGCATAATTGGTAAAGATCTTTTTCCATTCTGTAGTCTACTGCTTTGACCAAATGATGGTGTCTTTTGCCATACAAAACTTAGCAGTTTCATGAGCTCTCGTTTATTAATTTTTGATCTTAATGTCTGTGCTAACAGTGTTCTGTTTGGAAAGTCTTTTCCTGTGAGTTCAAGAGTATACCCCCACTTTATCTTCCATCAGATTCCGGGTATATGGCCTTATGCCAACATACCTAATGTTTTAATTGTGCTGAAATTCTTGACTCTCAGATTTTAACCACACTGCATGGTGAGGGGTTCTTTTCCCTTCCATTGTCCCATTAAAGTTTTCTGTCTTTCTATCTTGCTTCAGTAAGGTTCTCACAATACTACAAGAAAGACAATAAAACCCTGGCCTTCAATGACCTGAAAACCATAGCCTGTGTTGTTTTTTTTTTTTTCATTTTGTTTTGTGTATGGATGTTTTGCATTTATGTATGTATGGACCCACATGCATACCTGGTGCCTGCAGAGGCCAGAAGAGGGTACTAGATCCCCTTGCACGGAGTCACAGAACATTGAGAGTGATCACGTGAGTGCCAGGACTGGAACCTGGTAGAGCAGTAATCTTAACCACTGAGCCATCTCTCCTGCCCTGTGTCAGCTAATTTTGTCCACAAGGCTTGAAATTCGAAAAGACCCGGAGTCAAATCCTAGTTCTGTAGATTACTTTGCCGGTTTATTTAACTTCTGTGTCTCTACTTTCTCCTGTGTGAGAGGAGGACAGTACCACTTGTGTCAAAAGGTTTGTTTTGGATTAAATAAAAGTAAAGCCAATTGAAGGTGTTTCATTACTCATGAAAATAGTAAAAGCTTACGAAATAGTAATAGTTATTATCAATACTACCTCTGGTCTTTTGTTCATTTTTTTTAAATCACAAACATTGTACTCCATGTTATAAAAAAGAATGGCAGGGTGAAGCTTAGCAGCCTGGTGTGGGGAGAGGGTGGAGGTGATGGCCGGAAGGTAGCTGGTGCTTAGTAAGTATTCATTAGTGGCACATGATTTAAAGGATTTGAATGTCAGCCGTCCCTCCTGGTAGATGAAAACAAATGGCCCTTGTAAACACAGAAGATCTATGGTCAGGTACAGCCATGATCTTCAGCGAACTGACCACAGGATGCTGATGTGATAAAAGATGAGCAGGCTTGGTGTTACAGCCATTGTTCCCTGGCCCCAAGTTCTTCTTGAACGGCTTATGATTCCCCCTGTGCTGCTGGGGTTCCCCAAGGAAACCTTACGGGCTGCAGCACTGTCCCCAAGTTGACTTCTATTCCTTTGTGAATTGTATCAGGTCCCCACTCACCTCGCAGCACGTTATTGTCCTTGCCTTTTGTGGTTCACCTTGGGCCCTTGGAAATATGCCGGAGCTCTTTTTTTTTTTTTGCGCGCATGTGCTCCAGTTATGGGCGCCGAGCACCCTCTTGTGGCGAGACTTGCAGTCGCTCCTTCCAACCATTTCAGCGTCAAAAAAGGAGGCTCCGGGTTTTTTGGGGATTTTGTTTTGTTTCGTTTTGTTTTGTTTTCAGGTTTTGAAAAGACTTTTTTTTTTCTGGTGGAAACAGCTCCAAGATGAAAGTCCCTTTGTGTGAATCTCACGGTGCAGTTTGTTTTATGCCCACCCATCACTACAGCTCTGATAAGCCCATTCGGGCAGAACATCCTCACCGCAAGTCCACATCGGCCTCCAGGAACAGACAGGCACTACCAAGGAGCAGTTATTACTCCAGGAGCAGTTGTGAGGTTGAACATGATGCTTTGTAGTTGGCATTTTTAGAAGAATTCATTTGGGTGTCTGTTTAACAGACGAACCCACTTCCTATTTCACGACACTCCACAGAGGGCAGCAGATATTTTAGAAAACACACACTTGGTTCTCTTTATTTGTCATCCGTGGGCTTCTGCATTCTGACCTTGGTAAGAACATAGAGTGTGCGTTAATGTATTCCAAATGTAGTTTGGAAAGGGAGACATGAAACCTGGCACAGCTTCGCTTACTCAGGGTTTCTATTATTATTTAGCAGTCTAGCTTTGAAAATAAAGAATAGAATTCCTCCCGGGGTGCCAAGAATTGCCATGTAATATGCTTTCTATTTGCACTTACTGGTTCTGAAAAGGACCCCATACCCCCAAATCCAATCTTAAGGATGGCAACAGTAATATCTGCTCTACGGGGCTGTTGTGAAAATCACAGCTAATTTAGTGTGAGGGCTAATTTAAGTTTCTCGATGTTTCTCATCTAATCTTCATTCAGCAATTCTCAACAGGGATGCTGTTGGCTTTGTCAACAGGGCAGTTTTCACCGTGTGGTACAGTCTGGGGCATTATAGGACATTCAGCATCTAAGGGGTACTCCTACCCAGTCACTGTGAGAAGCAAGCCCCTTCCCAGGAGGAGGTACTGCCAGCCCCCCAGACTCACTGTTTGTCCATCCTGACACCTAAGAAGGGAGCTGGTCTACAAAGGAGGGAGCCAGTGCAGGTCCACTCTGCTATAGGGATGCCTGTAAGGCAGCTCAGGCCCCCAGGACTCACACAGTAAACCCCTGCAGAGTCCCTCCAGTACTGGTGAGGCAAACCCGTGTGAATGGTCACCACTTTTAAGAGCCTAGCTCAGTCAGGAAAAAAATCCTGCCAACACACACCTCCTGGGGGAGGGGTGGAGAACAAGATTGTGTTCTCAGGCAAACCCTTCCAATTCTCAGTCCCCAGAGGGGCTTATTTGTTCCAACTTGTGGCTGTCTGAATTTGTGTTAGAATTTGTTCAGTCACCTCACAGGCATTTATCAGTGCCTGCCCTGTACCACAAACCCTGTACTGAGCTCTTTGCATGGATGGCTTCAAGGCCACAGTCCTTTAAAGTTCATGAGATTGTCTGTCACGGCCACATGGGAACTGTGTCTCAAGGAATCCAGTTGACTGATTCAAGGCCCATGCTTGTCTCCACTGCCTCGTCCTGCTTCCCCAGTGCCTTGAAATTGTGTGTGTGTGTGTGTGTGTGTGTGTGTGTGTGTGTGTGTGTGTGGAGGAGGGTTCCAAAGCCCTCTACTGTTCTTGGGTACCTGCACACAGAGACATAAAATAATAAAAGCAAATTTTTTGAGATGCATGACTGGTTACCCAATGAGTAATGCAGTGTTTTCTTCCAGCCAGGGACAAATGGTGGCCTTCAGACCCCCAGATCATTTCAGAAGGGCTGTACGCCATAGCGGTGGTGCTCAGCTTCTCTCGAATTGCCTACATCCTGCCAGCCAACGAGAGCTTCGGGCCCTTGCAGATCTCCCTGGGAAGGACTGTGAAAGACATCTTCAAGTTCATGGTCATTTTTATCATGGTATTTGTGGCCTTCATGATTGGCATGTTCAACCTGTACTCCTACTACCGAGGTGCGAAGTTCAACCCAGCATTTACCACGTGAGTGCCCAGCCCTCTCCCTCCTTATCAGCCTCCCAGGCCTCTGGGAATCCTTGGGAACCTCTTGCAAGCAGTTTCTTGAAGATAGAGACAGATCTCTTGCAGCCTGTGTGCAAAAGATCCAAAACTCCTCCTCTCTGTGACGAACAGCGGTGACCCCTGGAGGCCACCAGTAACACTGAGCTCAGTCTAGTAAGAGCCACGGAGCCAAATTCACACCCTGACAGACATTACTGGCTAATGATCATTAGCCAAGTCATTGGATGTATGTGAGCTTTTGTGTCCACATCTGTGTTGACACAAAAACCCCAGCTCTAGTGTTAAGGGACTAAGAGACACTTTATTCCAGAGACACTTGAGTGACCATGGCCCAGGAACACAGATTTAGGTTACCCCAAATCCCCTGTTTCTATGTGGAAGCAGCTTCATGAAGTTGTATAAGTTTTACAGAACGACCAAAACAAGTTCAAAGTACATTGGTGAGTACATTAGGTACAGGGGCTGGAGAGATAGCTCAGAGGTTAAGAGCATGGGCTGCTCTTCCAGAGGTCCTGAGTTCAATTCCCAGCAACCACATGGTGGGTCATGGCCATCTGTGATGAGATCTGGTGCCCTCTTCTGGTGTGCAGACAGACACTGTATATATAATAAATAAATAAAA